TCCCCGGCGCCCAGCAAGACCCCCAGCAGCTCCGGTCACTACGAGCTGCCGTGGTGAGGACCCGAGCTGTCCCTGATGGGTGCTTCTCGACGCGAGGGTGGGCCAGGCCTGGTTCTGGAGGCCCCCAAGGGCGGGAGCCCTTTGCGGGCTCCTGAGGCGCGCTGGTCGGCGTGTGGTTCTTTTTGGGGAAGGCCAGGAAGCCTACCTGGGTGGAAAGTGGCCTCTCCGGGATCGGGGTCTCCGTGGAACCGATGCTCCAGCCCCCAATGCCCACCGGCAGGGGACTGGATGAGCAGTGTGCTGGCTACCCACTGGGTGCCATGCCTTCAGCCCCGGTGGGCAGGAAATGAAGCCCCACGCGTGCCCTGGTACAGGTGAGCCGGGAGAACGTGCCCAGTGACGTCAGCCAGCCGCAGAAAGTTCCAGACCGTGCCATGTCACGTGCTAGCCCAGGGGCGATGGTGGCTACCGGAGGGCGTGCAGGAGAGCCATGCTTGGGGGCACCGGCTCGGTCAATGACGATGGACCGATTGGAAAGGATGGTTCCGCCGATTGTGTGAGCCGGGAAACAGGGTGTTTGAACTCCTGGATGTCTCTGGATTGCCGTGGGAACACCGTTGCCTTGGCCAATCCCTTTGGTGTAGATGTACTTGTTAGAAAACAACACCACAAACCCAAACACACCACTGCAAAAACTCACTGCCTACGCCTAGCCTCCCCGCAGGACAGCGTGGAGCTGTCCCTGTGGGTTCCCAAGACTGTCAGTCTTTCCCGGAGCAGAAAGTCTTTCTCCCACCACTAAGCCTTTTTAAAAAGGGAAAAACCAGACACAAATCCTTAGTGTAGTCATCCCAATTTATTCCAGGTAATATTTCTATCTACATGCAAAAGAGAAAATGCCTCATCCAAAAATAATCAAAACAAACACCAACCCAGCGACTCTCTCTGACCATCTCCTCAGCCGGGCCCCTGTCTGTGCAGGCCACCTCTGATTGTCCCCCTGAGAGAGTGTCCGCGCAGGTGGGGCAGAGAAGGCGCTGGCCGCCTGTTTCTTGCTAGTTTTCAAAAACGGCAACCTAGGGGGCTGTTGGCGCCTTTTAAGCATCTGCTGTTAATCAGAAGGCCAGGAGTACAAACACCCTGGAAGAAAGATGAGGCCATCCCTTGGCCCCACACCACCTAGGAAGCCCTGTCGGGTGAGGCATTTCCACGCTGCCCTTTAGGGGCGCTGTGATCCAAATAACAGAGGGTCTGGCGGGGTGGGGATGGTAGAGGGACTTGGGAAGAACTCTTACCCTCCTGTCAGCATCAGCTTGGTAACCCTCTGCTCCTGCCCTCTTGCCTTGCCCCCCACTCATGGCTGGAGCAGATATGTCAGTAGAACGCTTCATCAGTTATTGCACGGATGAGTTGAAGTGCCTCTGGGTTTCTGAGGCTGCAGCCCTCCATGGGACCAGAAAGCCCCATCTTTCTCCTGTGGAGCAGCTGGCTGGGCCCAGAGGGCTGTGGGCCATGGTGTTACATTGTGCTGTACAGCCCACCCTAGCCCTTCTCTGCCACAAACAGGCCCTCCTCAGCTCTGGGGGGCACAGCTGTGTGTCAGACACGCAACGTTTCAGATGGTACTGAGCTCCTCGCTGAACTTACAATCTGCAGCCACTGGCCCGTTTTCATTGCCTGTAAAACCAGACCAAACTCACTGCCATGAAGTCCGTTCTGACTCTGTAAGACAGAGTAGAACTGCCTGGTTTTCCAAGACTAAGTAGTTACTGCAGTAGAAAGCCCCATCTTTCGATAACAGTTGTGTGAGCCCCTAATAAAATGTTAAAAAAAAAAAAGAAAGAAAGAAAATGATGAGGGCAACAAATGTACTTGACACAACGGATGTATGTATAGATTGTGCTAAGAGTTGTACAAGCCCCCAATAAAATGATTAAAAAAAAAAAAAAAAAGAAAGCCCCGTCTTTCTCTGGTGGAGCGGCTGGCTGATGGTTTCATACTGCTGTCCTTGTGGTTAGCAGGCCTGCAGGTAACCCACTCCGGCACCGGGGCTCCTTGGTGCTTTCTTTGGGGGGTGGAGGGGTGCAAACAGCCACGTTGTGTCAATCCTGACATGCCGGCATCTCTGTCCCTCGCAGGGTTGAGAAGTACAGACCCTTAAAGCTGAGCGAGATCGTCGGCAACGCAGACACCGTGAGCCGGCTGGAGGTGGGTGACTCTCCCAGTGGGGATCTGGGTGGTCCGGTGGCTTTCACAAGCTGTCCTGCTTCTAGGCCGAGATGGCCGAGAGACAGTGAAGGAGGTTGGGGGTGGGAGTGGGAGGAGCAAATGGAGAATCCAGGAGGATTGAGCGGCTGGGAGACCCAGAGCATCCAGGAAAGGCCTGGAAGCCAAGGCGGGTGGTGTCCAGTGTTGGAAGGGCGGGTGGTTCGGGGAGGGGTTATCAGAGGTGCTCTTGATTCCTTTAGGACAAGGGGCCACGTTCTATAAAGAGATAAGAAGAGGGATGTCACAGAGTTCGTGGGGAAATTCCATTTAAGTCCATTCTTCCACGAACTTTAGAGAGGGGCAGCTTAGGCTTTGTGACAGCTCTGTGGGATATCCTTTGTAACTTTTAAAAAGGTAGAAAACCTGTCTTAATGTGGGGCTTACAAAAAACGGCCGTTCTCTCCTTGTCCCTGTCCTGTCCCAAGCCTTTGATGGCAGAGCTCTGCCTGGAGGACAAGTCAGAACATGCCTGGCAAGGTGGGCAGGGCCCAGGCTCTGGTGCCCGCCCACTGAAGGGCTTGGGCTTCAAGTGGGAGGACAGTAAGGGGTCACCCAAGGCTCACCATTAGGTAAATTTTTAGAAACATTTGCATTTTGGACCAAGGTGGTCCCAGAGTGGACCGGAAGGGGGCAAGTTCAGAGGCAAAGAGACCACTTAATGGCCTGTTGAAAATAGTCCAGAGGATGGGTGGGTGGGTGGGGGGGGACACAGCAAGCTCTGGGGCAAAGGCCCCTGGAGGTACAGGCCTATGGGCTGTGAGAAGGCCCGGCTGAGGGTGATGCTGACCCCTCTGGGTGTCAGGTATCGAGGGTGGGTCTGGTTTTGATGCTGAGGTGAGACTTGAGAATTCTGGAGCTGCACCTCCCTCCTGGGCCAGGGAGCTGGGGTCTGCACCTAAGGCTCACCAGCCCCCCAGGTCTAATGAGCATCTCCTTCCTCAGGTCTTTGCAAGAGAAGGGAATGTGCCCAACATCATCATTGCTGTGAGTCCCTGGCTCGGGCTGGCTGTAGGGCTGCCTCCTCCTTCTGCTCCTCCTCCAAGACGCCTTCTGTGGCCGACACCCTGGTCATCCCCCTCGGCAGAGGGCGACGTCCCATAGCTGCTAGCCAGACTCCCCGGGGGCTGATTGCTCGAGTGGACTTGGGTGTTCAGTGTGGGGTGGGGTGCTGGGGGAGCAGAGCATGGGCCAGGCTGGGTGCATTCCAGCTGCAGGAAGCATTTACTGGGAGGGGGGTCTCCTTCCCAGGGCCCCCCCGGAACCGGGAAGACAACCAGCATCCTGTGTCTGGCCCGGGCCTTGCTGGGCCCAGCGCTCAAGGATGCCGTCCTGGAACTCAACGCGTCCAATGACAGGTGCGCCGGGGCCTCCTCTCAGTGTCACCCTGGGCTTCGTTAAGGGGACCTGGTGGCACAGCCGTTCAGCGCTGGTGTCTAACCACGAAGTCAGTGGTTCCAGCCCAGCAGGCACTCTGGGAAAGAAAGCTGAGGCTGCTCTGTCCCGTCATGGTGCCCTGAGCTGGAATCAACTTGACAGCACGGAATTGGGGTTCTTTGGGGACCCCTGTGGGGGCGCCCTTGGGATAAACGTTGGGCTGCTCACCGCCAGGTCAGCGGTTCAAACCCTCTAGCCGCTCTGTGGGAGAAAGGCGAGGCCTTCTGCTTCCACCTGGGAAGCCCCCTGGGGGTCGCCCGCGGTGAGCAGAATCGGCTTGTTGGCTAAGTGGCTGGTGTTTGGGGGCAGTGGGTCCTTGGAGCTGGCCTCGCCAAGGAAACGCTTTCCTTTCAACCTCCCCAGAGGACGAGCTGGGGAACTGCCGTCAGCCTGGGCTTGTACAGGAGCCCCGTGACCTAGTGGTTAGGCGCTCAGCTGCTAGCTGCAAGGTCAGCAGTTTGAAACCCCCTGCCGCTCCCCAGGAGAAAGACGGGCTTTCACTCACAGGGGTAGCTGTGCCCTGCCCTACAGGGTCCCTCTGAGTCAGATCGATCGGCGGCAGTGAACGTGGGGTTTTGAGTGGACTCATTAGGAATGAAGTCCTGGAGACTGAAATACGGACCAGTCGAATAGCAGGGCGGCAGTCTGCCTCTGGAGCTTCCTGGAGGGCGCTGTTTCCAGCTCCGTCTCAGAAGTGGTCCTCGTCCTTTGAATGCAACTAACTGCTCTTCCGCTGTCGGCAAGAGCCTGACCTTTAACACACTCCCGCCGAGTCGGTTCCAACTCAGCAGTGCTGTAGGACGGGTCGAACTGCTCAATAGGGTTTCCAAGACTGTCCATCTTTGCGGGGGGACAGGCAGCCTCCTCTTTCTGTCCCTGGGTGGCTGGTGGGTTTGAATGGTCAACCGTGCCATTGGGCAGTAATGATGCCGACGCATGGTGGCCCTAGAGGACAGGGTAGAACTGCCCCCGGGAGTCTCCAAGGCTCTAACTCCTTGTCTACTGGTGGTTTCCAACTGCTGACCTTGCCGTCAGCAGCCCAGCTTGTAACCACCACGCCACCTGGGTGCCACGAGCCTGTCCTATGGCTGTTGGTAGATCACTGGTCCCAGGAGGCAAATACAGATACTTTCTGGTTATTTTGGCCTTTTTTTGTTTTAAGCCTAGTTGAGAATCGTCGTTAAAGTAATGATGAAATAATGACTAGGATGTTTCAAGATACGGGAAGAATACGATCGAATATACGATCGATGAAGACCACCCCTTCTCCACCCCCCAAGTGTATCTTAGACTAGAAGAGAGTCCAAGTTCCATGTGGTCATTGGAGATAAACTTAATTTTATTTTACTAGGGGTGGTGGGTTCGGTTTCTGAAAACACAGCTCTGCGGAGCCGACTCCAGCTGATGCTGACCCCCTAGGGCAGTAGAACAGCCCCTGGGAGTGTTTACGGGAGGAGAAAGCCTCATCTTTCTCCCTCGGAGTGGCTGACGGTTTCGAACCAGCACGTCAACCACTACGCCACCAGGGCTTTGATGAGAAAGGGGCCCGGTCCTGAATTCCCCCGTCTTAGAGCTAAGCAGCACTGCCTAAGGATGACACTAGAGGTGGGGCCAGCGGTCGACCGTGGTGGCTCACCGAGCTTCAAAGGTCCTTGTGAAGAGAAGAGTTTGTCTGAGAAGGCAGCGCTGTTTACTCCGGTGTGGTTTGTTTTCAGGGGCATTGATGTCGTGAGGAATAAAATCAAGATGTTTGCCCAACAGAAAGTCACCCTTCCCAAGGGTCGGCATAAGATCATCATCCTGGATGAAGCAGACAGGTAACGTGCTTTGCCGAGGAGGTTTGACCTGGACCTCGGTCTCCCAGAGAGCTTTGGTGGATGGGGTTGGAGAAACGTTAATAGCTTTGGAAAAAACACAAAGGTGTTGTTGTTTGTTTATGTTCTTGGAAGAGGAATTGGGGACTGTCTGTTAATACCTTGTTGTGTTCTCTTCGCTGCTTCACAAAGTTTGCGACGAAATGGAATGAAACGCACCCATGGCTCAATATTCAGCCAAACAGTAGCCAACCCAACCAAGCTCACAGCCATCGAGGCGATGCTGACTCATAGCCACCCCACAGGGCAGGGCGGGGCTGCCCCTGGGCGTTCTGAGCCTGTCGCTCTTTACGGCGGTTGAAAGCCCCATCTTTCTCCCCAGAGCAGCTAGCGGTTTCAAACCGCTGGCCTTGCAGATTGCAGCACTGTGCGTGACCCCAGTGCCACCAGGGCTCCTAGAAGCTGGGACAGGGCAGGTTGGCAGACGGAGCGTAGTCATGTCTAGAGGGAGCAGTGATCCTGCTGAGGCATGCCCACCTCAGAACAATCAACCTTTGGGGCTCAAAAGGGCAACATTTACCCAAGAAGGACATTGAGGGTTAGAAAGAAGCTGGGAAGGGAGCAGGCGGAGGAAGTAGGATCGGCGATGTTGCATTGTGGGCAATAGTCAGCCGTGAGCAGAGATGGACCATGTGTGAATCGTGAATGGAAAACTGCTCCGTGCTCTGAGCCATCGCCCAGCTCACAGTACACTCACTGCCGCGGAGTCAGTGCCAACTCACGGCCACCCTACAGGACAGGGCAGAACTGCCCTGTGGGTTTCCGAGACGGCCGCTCTTTATGGGCTAGAAAGCCGCCTCTTTCTTCCGTGGAGCGGCTGTTGTCTCCGAACTGCTGGCTTTGCAGCTCTTCTAGAAGCTGGGCAAGGGGAGGTTAGCAGACTGACCCCCGGAGCGTCCAGAAAAGAGCCCACCGCTGACCCCAGCCCAGCCAGACCCACCCAAGACTGCCGCCACCAGCCTGTGTGCCCCGCCGAGCAAAGTGGAAACACGTGACCATAGTCCACGCACCCTTGGGAGGATCCCGGGGCTGCTGGCCACCAGGTTGGCGGTTCAACCCCCACCTCCACTCTGCGAGAGAACAGTGAGGCAGGATTCCCAGTCTCCACAAACAAACAAACAAAAACACCCAAACCCCTGCCGCGGAGTCCTCTGGGACTCGTAGTGACTCTCTGGGTTGTAAATCATGGCGGGTCAGCAGTCCAGCACTTCACCCACAGTGCCAGGATCATTCTTGGGTTTGGTGCTCAGGGAGGCCCAGGCACCCAGCATTCTAGTAGAGCAGTGGGCAACCGACCAGGTCAGGCCGCTAGCTCAGATGCCTCATCATGGGGAGGCCACTGCGGACTGTGATGCTGTGTGTGCGGGCAGCGAATCTACATGGTTGGCCTTAGGGAGCGGGGCTCCTGGGTGTGGGCACTTGTGGGGGCTGTGTGGTTGCTTCTGAAGCTCCATCCGGGCCACATGGGGCATGTCCTGGGTCCTGTGGGGCGGGTGCCTGGGGCGCCGACTGTCTCCCTCTGTCTCTTCCCAGCATGACGGACGGCGCTCAGCAGGCCTTGCGGAGGACCATGGAGATCTACTCCAAGACCACTCGCTTCGCTCTCGCCTGCAACGCTTCCGATAAGATCATCGGTGAGGCCGCCCGGGGCTCCTGGGGGGTTGGCGCTGGGTTGCCCACCACACCCGCTTCATCTACTTCTCTCAGGAAGGCCCCCAGAAGTGGAGCTCTGAGCCAAGGGACTGCCCTGACAGGTCCAAAGTGTGTGAGGCAAAGTCCCCCGTCCTTGCCTCTCAAGAGCATGTTGGCTGCCCTTCCTCCGAGTTGGCTTTGGTTGCTCTCGGCAGCCCGTGGTCCATCCGTCGCCTTCACCAGCACCGCCTCCCGGTCTTCTTTATCCAGACACGCACAGGAAGCTGTCGGAAATATCAGGGCTCTTGCCTCAGGCGCACCTTAGTCCTCAAAGGGACAGCCTGGCCCTTCGACCCTTGGGAAAGGTCTTGGGCAGCAGGCCTGCCCAGTGCAGTGTGCGGTTTGATCTGTCTCCCGACGGCTGCTTCCGTGGGCGTCGGTCATGGCTGCAAACACCAAGCGACCCTTGACATCGTCAGTCTTTTCTCCGTGCACCTGGCCAAGTCCACATGTACAGTCCTAGTCTGTTGTTGAAAAAAGGCCTTTCCAATGAAAAGGTCACTGATCTTGCCCAGTTCCGTCCCATCTCCACCCACCTGGGTGGCTGCTGACTCCCCTGAGTTCTTGAGGCACCTGGTGGCTCCATCCTGGGGTGTCTTCTCCCCACCAGGAAACAGTCTCACGGAGGCCACGCTGGGCGGCGCTGGCCACGGCCGCCAGCATAGCACAGAGGCTGGCACAGAAGTCACCCTGACTCCCAGAGTCCCTCTGGAGCCCCCGCTAGGTTGGAAGAGAGGCGGTGGCCCTGCTGAGGCCCGTGGGCCATGTGCTGCCGCTTGCCGGCTGCCTGCAGCACCTCCCTCACACTCCCCCTGCCCGCCAGAGCCCATTCAGTCGCGGTGTGCGGTGCTGCGCTACACAAAGCTGACGGACGCGCAGGTGCTGGCGAGGCTGATGAGCGTGATCGGGAAGGAGAGCGTGCCCTACACGGACGATGGCCTGGAGGCCATCATCTTCACCGCCCAGGGGGACATGAGGCAGGTCCGTGGCCGCTGCCCCGCAGGGAGTGTCCCCGGGCTGCTCTGCAGGGGCAGGAGTAAGTGACCGCTGCCCAGAGACAGCGAGTCCGCCCGAGGGGCACACACCTCCAGGTGGACTCCGGGGCAGGGAGCTCCTGGGGGGTCACGGAGGTGGAAGCCGTACCCCTGACCCAGCTCTTGCTCCTCGACAGGCGTTGAACAACTTGCAGTCCACCTTCTCGGGGTTCGGTTTTATTAACAGTGAGAACGTGTTCAAGGTAGGAAGGCTGGAGGGGACCCCAGGTGGGCAGGTGACAAGGGAGGGGGAGGCACTGTGACTCCACAGGACCGCCCCTGTCAGTCTCTGAGACTTTACAGGAGCTGACAGCCTCTTTCTCACGTGGAGTGACTGGGGGATTTGAACCACTGACCTTGTGGTTGGCAGCTCAATGTGTGACCCACTTCACCACCAGGGCTCCTGAATTGAGAAATAGGACCTCAAAAAAAAAAGAAAGAAATAGGACCTCTTTTTTTTTTTTTCTTTCTTTTTTAATTTTTTTAGGACCTCTAAAGGTGAAAAAAAAACACCAAAAAAAATACCTGGTCATCAGAAGACGTTGCTGAGAGGGTTTGGGCACGTGGGTACTTGTGTGCCTCTGTTGCGAATAGTTCCATCACCTGTACTCCCCGTGCCCCTCCAGAAAACATCTCACTCTTTGCTGTCGGATCAGTGGCAGCTCAGAGACCCTGTGGGACCCGGATAGCTGCCCTTGTGGGTTTACGGGAGAAGACGGGGCTGTCTACTCCCATGGAGTGGCCGACGGCTTCCAACGGCTAGCTTTGCAGTTAGCAGCCTAGTGCTGGAGAATTCCGTGAAAAGATGAGGGGAAGTTGGCCAGCACTTGGTCCCTGATACGCGTCTCGTCTCCTCTCGGCTCGGGCAGGTCTGTGACGAGCCCCACCCGCTGCTGGTGAAGGAGATGATCCAGCACTGTGTGAGCGCTGACATCGATGAGGCCTACAAGGTTAGTCTCCTCCCTGATTCGCAAAACCAGCACCGCCAGGGAGCCCATTCCGCCTCAGTAGGACAGGGCAGAACTGCCCCGTGGGTGTCCAAGATTGTCCCTCATGATGGGAGTCGAAAGCCTCGGTTTCCTCCCACGGAATGGCTGGTGGTTTTGAACTGCTGACCTTGCGGTTAGCAACCCAATGTGCAGCGCCGCCAGGGCTCTCTCCCAGACCCAGGAGGAACCTTTCACTTCCTGAGCGAAGCTGGGGTGGTGGTGGTGGGGGGAACCCATGCAGTGCTTGGGTTCCAGCCTGGATGCACGCCTCTCCTACTGGGAACCAAGCAGGAGGGTAGTTGGTGGAGCATTTTAAGAGCCTTGAACGAGGGCGTGGGTGTGGTAGTAGACAGACCAGCTTAACCGTGTAACCTGAAACATTTGCACCTGCCGGGAAAACCAGTGATGTTACTTGTCATGAGTTAATGGGCATGACACACGGGGCTGGGGTCTGGGTCCCCAGCGGTGCCGGCATCCAGGGGATTCTCAGAAGCACGTGAGCTGCCTGAGTTGCTGTGTGTGCGTCCACTCAGGACGCTGTCCCAGTGCGATGGCCCCAGGGTTGGCGCGGCTTGGACTCTGTGTCCCCATGGGATCTTCCAGCCCAAGGGGGTCAAACGGCCAGACTGCCTCTTCTTTTGTCTAGATCCTGGCTCACCTGTGGCATCTTGGCTACTCGCCAGAGGACATCATTGGCAACCTCTTCCGAGTGTGCAAGACCTTCCAGATGGCGGAGTACCTGAAGCTAGAGTTCATTAAGGTCGGTGAGAGCCGAGAGACTCCCGCTTGCCCAAGAGCGGGGGCCACGTGTCTTTCTTGTTTGGCTCTCAGACCTGGCACCTGGAAGATGCCCAGTGAGCCGTCCCTGGCAGGGATGGGGCAGTGGGGGGTGAGAGAGCATGCCCAGTTGTCCTGAGAGCCAGGTGTTTGGTGAAGCCAGCTTTGCCCGTCGGTGATGGCCTGGGTGTTCCTTAGGGTGGCTCTTCAGAGAGGGCTTTTTAAAAATGGTGTGTGTTCACTGAGGTCAGGTTAGCTGAGGTATAGTTTAACTGCTGTGAAGGTAAGCCTTGGCGGTAGATCACGCTAACAAGACGCATCCGTCGTGTAAACACGGCCACAATCAAGATGTGAGCGTTCTGCCCACCTCCCATCATGCCCAATTTGTAGTGCCACTTGTTGGTTCACTCTGTTCCCTGGAAACCAAGCTCACGTCCTCGGGTCGCCAGTGACTCGTGACCCTGTGGGACAGAGCAGTGTCACCCTGTGGGTTCCCAAAGCTGTGCATCTTTTTATGGGAGCAGAAAGCTTCATCTTTCTCCCAAGGAGCTGCTGGTGGCTCTGAACTGCTGAACTTGCAATCAAGCAGCCTGACATGTAACCCACTGCGCCACCTAGGCTGCTGTCTCTTTGCCCCTGGGAACCACCAATCCGTTTGTTTCCATGTTAAGCCCAGAATCTCCCATGACAGCCGCGTCTCTTGCCTAGCCGACCGTGTTTCCATTCATCCAGGACACGGTGTCCATGGCTGGCTCCTCCCTGTTGCTGAGTGGTGGCCGTTGTGTGGACCAGCCATCGTGTGCTTGGTGGGCCGGCTGGGGGCCACGGGGTGTCCAAGTTTGGGTGGGTTGGAATAAAGCCGCTCTGAGCATTTGCACACAGGAATCGGGGTGAACGTGGGCGGGAGTGTCGTTCTTCTGGGGTGAATTCCCAGGAGTGAGATTGCTTACTTGACTATGGGTGGGGGTGGGGTGTGTGTGTGTGTGTGTGTGTGTGTGTGTGTGTGTGTGTCTTTCTAAGAAACAGGGCTACGTTCCTCCCAGCGCTGCAGGAGCTGTCCACCTGCTCTGCATGATGACCAGCACACGGGGGACCTAGTGCTGTTCCTTCTTTTCCTCACAAGACACACTCCACGAGGCGTGTGTGGCCTCTCCCTGCAGCATTCATCGGCGTGTCCCACCTGGCTTCTTTGCCCAGGTGTCTGTTCCCATCTGTAGCCTGTTTTTAATCAGGCTGTTGATTTTTTTTTTTTTCCGGAGGCTTGCTTCTTTTAACCTGTGTGTAAAACAAAACCTTTCTTGTGGTTGTAGGGCGGGGGGAGCTGCCAGCCCCCCCCTCTCCCCGCCACTAATCACGGGTTCAATAGACACATTGTACGGTTGAGATATATAAATGTTATATTAAAGTCATCGAGAGCATGAGAGGTAAAGAGATATTGAAATCATGGAGTCAGACACATTTCATGGTAGCATTGCTCACCTCAGTCCCGCTTGGTGGTCCACGTGGAAAGAGGGGGAGGGGGAGGAGGACATGGGGAAAGGGAACAGGGGAGGAGAGGGAGCCGACGAGAGGTCAAGGGAGGAGCAGAGAGCAAGCACCCTGTATTGCTAACCCTATATATATTTGGGGGCAGTGCAAGCCCCCTAATTACAGGTAAAGACATACGTCACAGGAAGGGGTTGTACTATCAGTTATACAGCAGTGAGAAGGGGGACAATCTAGAGATATACAGGCAATAGGAAGAGGAGGGGTTGGGGGCATGTGACAAGATGGGCGGATCCTAGATTCAGGATGGCAGCCTAACTTTGGATGTCACAAGCTGGTTTGATCTGTTCTCTGGATTTCCATAGGAACCATTATCAGTACGGTGTAAACTCCGTCTACAGGGACCAAATCCATGACTGTAGGCCTGTCCATTGTCCCTAACAGCAGGGAGCAGGGCCTACCCTAGTCTGGTGACTGACTGTCTTCAGGGAGGATGTCTGTAAGCATCTGAGCTCCCCCCACACTTTCTTTTGAAAGAGCCATGTGTGTATAAAGAACACTTTCCGTTTTGACCTTCCAGTATGTGCTTGGGCAGGCAGTGGCATTTCCACCCATTGTGCTCGACACCCATCCTAGCCACCCATTTCCAAGTTTCACCATCATCCCTAGCGGAGACTCCGTGGCCCTGAAGGGGTGGCCTGGCCCACTCGTGGCAACCAGTGATCTTGGGCCTCTAGACAGCTGCCCAGCCTCCGTAGCTCCTATCACTGGGACCACATGCTACGTTGTCTTTGGACACTGGCATTCTTTCAGCATGCTGTTCCCAGCGTCCCTCCAGGTGGCAGCCTGTCTCTGCACTCCACCTCTCTCTGGCCGGCTAAGATTTGCCGTGTACCTGTCCCACGGGGCATTCCCGGCCACCTGTCACTGGCCTTTGAGTTGGTTCCGCCTTGGGGTTCTCGGGACCAGGGGAGTAGTGCACCTGGTGCACGGTCAGTCTGTCTGGGTTTCCGCTTTGAGTTCTTTCAGGAGAAGAGATCCCTTCTGCCGCCCAGGCCTGCTGTGGAAACCCACTAGTGACCCTTACCGGTGTCTTGTGGTGAACTCGTTAGCCCCAGGATTTCTTATTTCTGCCTAGCTCTTTTATACTGTTGCCGTGAGGAGTGTATGGGGTATCTCCTTCTGTCTGTCTGTTCACGCTTCCGGGAGGCTCGGGTGCCCTGGCTTCGCTTCCTCGGGCTCTGTGTTCGTGGTTTCCTCTCCACCTTGGAGCCTCGGCGGGGTCCAGCCTCCCGCTGTGTGGGGCTCCTCTGGCCTGTCTTCGCATCTCTGGACAAGCTCTCCCCCAGCCCTGGCCCCACCTTGTCCTAGCCTCCCCCAGTTGTCACTGCGCTTGCTCTCATTGGACTCGGAGTTTGTCCATCTCCTGCAGGTGGACCGCGCTCTCTACCAGGACCTGTTAGCGTGTGCATTAATCATCAAGAACACCGGCATCCCTTTCCTTGATAGACAGGACTTTGGTCAAGCTGTGTGACCTCTCCCACAACCCGCTCACATCGTAGGGGGACCTGGTTCCAACTGGGGTTGGAGTCCGTCATGGCTTTATTGTTTTTCTTGTTCTCTAAGCTTTATTAATGTTGTTGTATACATATTTATTTACTGAGCGTATACACAGCAAACGCAGCATCGACGTTGACTGAGTTTGATGTTGAAATGGAATCAGACTTCAAGAACAGCCGGGTGTCAGTCTGGTCCGTGTTGCCTTCTCGTCCCCCAGGAAATCGGATACACCCACCTGAAGATCGCAGAGGGTGTGAACTCCCTCCTGCAGATGGCGGGGCTCCTGGCCAGGCTGTGTCAGAAGACCATGGCCCCAGCGGCCAGTTAGAGCAGAGACTTCCCTGGAGGGGCTGCGGGGGACCTCCCTTCCTCCCTCCTCACAGTCTGTGGGGACATTGCCTGGAGGGCCCCTCCTTTGAAGGACTAGCCGGCGCCTCTCCCACAACTCACATGTCCACAGGGGTCCACATCCCACCCCACACTTGGGCAGAGTTCCCTCAGAACCTAGAGGCCCGGATGGGGACGTGGGTGTGCTGACCATGTTTAATAAAACTTTACAGTGAGCACAGTGTGGGCGCTACCCTTCTGGGACTGCTTTGTGGATCAGGCCTTGCATGCGGTGCCATCTCCTGCTTGTCCGCCAGGTGGCAGGACAGCTCCGCGTCCAGGAAAGCTGCCCTGTGCCTGTGCCTTCCCATCTCAAGAGAGACTGTGACTGAGATAACACACCCAACAGGCTACACACACCCCCACCCCCACCCCCGTTGTCTGGAAACCGGAGGTGACCCAGACAGAGCCCTGGTGGTGCACTGGGTGGTTGCACGTTGGGCTGCTAACCGCAAGGTCAGCTGTTCAAAACCACCAGCCGCCCTGCAGGAGAAAGACGAGGCTTTCTACTCCCCTGAAGAGTTCCAGTTTTTCCCTGCCCTGTAGGGTCGCTGTTAGTTGGCACAGAGACCTGGCGGGGTTGTGGGGGCGTTTTTTGCTGGCTGCTCAGGGCAGCCCTGGGTGGTGAGCCCTGCCATCAGGCTCTTAGCCTGTCACCGGTGTGCCTGCCACGAGTGCACACAGGAGAGTTCCAGCCACATCACCCTCCCCGTTGCGTCGTGGCTAAAGAATCCCCCTGTGGGTTTCGTCATTGCTCACTTTGCTTGGCGAGAGCCTCGTGTTCCCGTGTCTGAATTGTGAGCAGTTACAGTTGTGTGCAAAGGCTGTTGTCCTCACTGACCCCGAGTTGGTGACCGGAGCATGGGGATGGGAGCCCCCGCCAGCCCTGCTCCATCCTCTCGCAGCTGGCTGGCTACCCGGAGCACGTGCCCACCAGCCAGCCCTTGCTTTGAGTGCGCTCCATCTGGAAGCTCTGCTGGGACATCGCCAGGGTAGATGGTGGCCGAGCAAGTAAGATGCATAGAGCCCTTTGAGGAGATTGGCCCCTTTGTTTCGGCATCTTCTAGGCTTACAATGAGCCAGCTCCGTAGGCGAAAGGGGGAGCCCCACTGCCACCGAGAAAGAAGGGTTGGACGTAGAATACGTTATTTGGACCTGGGGTCCCTGCACTCAGAACTTCCTAGACTCAGGAGATGACAGAAAGGGAATTTGATGCCAGAGACCATGTGGGGCTGCAGGAAGTGGTGGCAGAGGAGCTGCAGCAGAAGGCATGTTGGGTTTCCCAAGCCCCAGAGAGAGCTGGATGCCTTCTGGACCAGCTTCCTGACAGGGTGGGGGACCACTGGACACTGTCAGCACAGCTAGCCTTGCTAACCCATGGAGCTAGAGAGCTAGGCTCCTTTGGCCTGAGCCTGAGCAGTACAGTGGTCCCTATGGGCACTTATCAAAGCAAAACCTTTGTCAGGCTTAGCGGAACGGGAGAGGCTAGGCCAGCCCGGGGTTCTAGAGAGAGGCCATGGCCAAGAACTATCCTGAGCAGCTCCTGAAGCTGAGTCATAGCCTTCCCTAATAGACCACTTAGGGTCTTAAAGGCTTGAAGGTAATCAAGCGGCCATCAAGCTCAGAAGCAACAAAGCCCACATGGAAGAAGCACACCAGCCTATGCAACCACGAGGTGTC